ATAATAGGGGTTAAAGTATGAAATTGCCGATTTGTACTGAAAATCTAAATTGTTTATTTTTTAAATTTTTAACAAATTTATTTAATCAAAATAGTTGTCATTATTATCTATACATTGCTGCCATCTAATGGGAAGGTTATTAATGCCTTTGCGATAGAATTCCGACGATCTAGACTGCACAAACTGTGTGAAAGCATTTTGTACTGCCTCCTGGGAAGAAAACTTCTTGTCACGTAGATAATTGTCCAAATCACGAAAAAAATGGTAGTCCGTTGGAGCAAGGTCTGGTGAATACGGAGGATGACGAATGGTTTCTAACTGCAGTTCCTGAAGGGTCAAAATGGTATCTCGTGCTGTGTGAGGTCTCGCGTTGTCGTGGAGCAATAATGGTGAAGATCGATTCATGAGTCGGGGCTGTTTTACTGCTAGTTTTGTCAACATGGTTCGGAGTTCGGCACAATAGACATCTGCCGTTATTGCTTGACCAGATCGGAGAAAACTATAGTGAATAACACCATGCTGAGACCACCAAACAGTTACCATTACCTTTTTATTGGTAAGTTTTGCTTTAGGACACTGTTGTGGCATTTGACCTGGGGTCAGCCATTGCATTTTTCTTTTCCGGTTATCATAAAGAATCCACTTTTCATCACATGTTACAATTCGATCCAATATTCCTTCATTTCTGTACCGGTTCAACAAGGCAACACAAGTTTCAACACGCGTTTCTTTCTGCAGATCAGTCAAATCATGAGGCACCCATTTTTCGTATTTTTTTATTTTATTGATTTGACGCAAGTGAGTCAATATTGTGGGTAAGGTAACGTTAAACCATGCCGCTAATTCCTGGGTAGTTTGACTAGGATCGGCTTCCACTATCTCTCTTAATTCATCGTTATTCACCTGTGTGGGCGGTCTTCCTCGTGGCTCGTTCTTTAAGTCGAAATTTCCATAACGAAAGCGTTTAAACCAAAATCGCACGGTGCGTTCATTAGTAGACCCCTCTCCAAACGCAGCATTGATATTGCGGGCTGTTTCTGCCGCGTTAGTTCCGCGTCGGAACTCGTATTCAAAAATCACTCGAATTTTCGCAGTATCCATCTTTCTTGTCTAAATTGAATAACAAAAACAATTGAAAGTCGATATTCAAATGTTTCAAATTAAAAAAAAAAAAAATCACAGTAACCATTTGAAAAAAGTTTCATTCGAAAACCTTAAACCATGAAGATTCTATGAAAATTCAAATAACCTATTGCAATAAAACGGCAATTTCATACTTTAACCCCTAATACCATGCCTTTCCTGAATACCTACGTCTGGCGAAGCCTGGGCAACAATGGATGAGTTCCCTTACGCCGATTTTTCACTACGGCAGTGACGACAGCAAACATTGTGCCACCGATACGATAACAAGAAGAAGAAGAAGAGGCCGAATTCCGCAAACGAAATCTTACTGACACAAAATATAAAAAAATATTAATAGATTTTCGATTTTGTTCTGCGGATGCATTCGTACGCAGAAACTGGCAACACAGCACGCCAACTGTCAAAACAAAACAAAAATGTCAAGCAATGCATTTTGATTTATATTTTTAGATTTTAGAGATTTGTAGCTATTTTTATGTAGTTCGTAGGCATAATATTGTATTTTTAGTTTTACTCGTGAATGGTGTATTTACAATGTTGGTGAGAAAAATTCGGAGTGACCTTTTGCATACTACATATAAATGTGCAAGTGTAGGATGTCGTCAAATTGCCAATCGATTAGATGCATTAGACCACCATGAGACACTGGACGGGTGCATGTCGGCGTTGCCATCAAAAGCTAAGGTCGTGGTGTGTGGCGGCGGGGTGATGGGCGCTGCGGTCGCGTACCATCTCGCGAAAAGAGGCTGGGGACAGAAGACCGTTCTCATCGAGAAAGAAAAGTGAGTACATTATTACCTTTATCTAACGCCGGTCTAGGCATTACACTGCACAACTATAACACTATAGTATGTGCAATGCACAAATGGCAGCCGGGCGCGCACCTCTTTACCTCCTTATCCTATTTTCATAAAATATGCGTGAGGTACAATGTCGTTTACAACTTTGACGTCCAAATATGAACTAAGGTAAGTAAATGCACTATTTTAATAAGTCCAAGAGAGTGAAGTTAATTTTATCTACCGATTGTGCTCTTGAATAGTTTCCATTAAAGTTTAATTAATTCTAGTTAATTTTCATGTGTAGTAGTTTCAGGCAAAGTTAGAAATTGAAGATTTTTTTTTTTTATAATTATCAATGCTGATTCATAGTTCTCTTTAATTTTTGACTAAAAATGAAAAAATGTGGCAAAACTAAATAAACACAGAAGAAAATCTTTGGGGAAAAAATTTGGTTAACTTGTTTTTTGAGATTGACATTGCACACGTTTCGATATATCTCTGATACAAACATATGGCACAATGTTGCTAGTGGTAGCATTTTGTTGTACCAATTCATTTTATAAGTGTTATGATAGTTGTCAAGGATATTCATGAACACAATTATCAAGGTATCAAAACAAATCAAAAATAATAATTATCACTTTGAATACAGTTTGGTTGATATAGTATTTGCGGAAATTTTGTTCAAAATTTGAAAATGGTACACATGCGCTATTTTATAACATATCCACCAACACTATAATTGTAACTTTAAGGGAGTTTCCACTACCACATACTACTAAATGATCACACGATCAGAATATACGACCTATTTCAAGCCCCTGAGGAAGATTTCTCAGTTCCTGAGTCCCGTGAAATGTAACATCCCCTTACAGGATGCAGGAGTTTACAAGCTTGACTGTGAGTGCGGTCTCTCTTATATTGGACTAACAAAGCGAAGTATTTGTACCCGCGTCAAAGAACATATAGCTGATGTTAAACACCGTTGCGTAAACAAGTCTGCAGTCTGCGAGCATGTCATGGATAAACCTACACATTCAATGAAGTTTGACAAACCCCAGGTCCTTGCAAAAGAAAGCCGTTATCTACCCAGGATGCTGCGAGAGGCCATTGAAATTAAAAAACATCCTAATTTCAACAAGGAAGATGGTTTCTCCGTACCACCAGTTTAGGATCCAGTATTTCCTCTAATGAAAAATCCCAAACAGACATAAGACTGCAGTACTAATTAATATGTTTTAGTTTATTCTAATTTCTATTAATAATTAATAATAAATTGAATTTAATAAAAATTCATTCAATAAAATAATTTGTAAAACTTAATATAGCGTAAATTGGAATGTTTTTTTTTGTAAAATTAAAAATAAGGTATTTCATTAATAACTATTGTAACTATGGTTGAAGACTGTACCACCTCAGTCAACCGTGACCATGGGACCTGTAAAGATCCCGAAACGTCAGTTTGTTTGAAAAAACAAATATACGCGATTTAAATCCGGAAAAATAGTTTCATTTCCTATGTGTAACAATCGCGAAAACCTAAGAACTCGATAGATAATCCAGGTTTTTTCAAATGCGATATCACCCCCGGACAGCATCAACGCCCCCCAATTGCTTCTAAAGCGCCCTCTGGACCACTAAAGGACCACTTTGGGAAACCATGACTTACATAGTAAAATAAATATTCAACAAATATTGGTTGTGAAAGATTTGAATTTATTTACATTTATAACAGTGATGTTTAGGTAGATAGCAACGTTTTTCCTGTGGGTGCAGTATTGAGTATCTTGACCTATGTGGCTTATACTTAAAGTGGATAATATTACCGACTTCCTTTTTATTGTACAAACAGGATAAGGCAAATTTGATTTAGCTTGCATGCATGTACTCGTGCAGTTTCCAATTGAATCATTGCACTTGCCATTTTGACTTCGCGTTGACGTCGCTCGGGATATGTAAGTGCTTTTTTAATATTTTCTTTGTTCTAATTTCTAATCCATAGTCTAAATAATGACGACATTTCAAAAATATTTCTTTTTTTTTTAATTCAAAAAATTAATTTAAATATCGTTTTTCATATTAAATAAAAATTTACTCGTTTTTGGCACCAAGCAAATGGCGTAAGCGGCTGGAGCCACGTATTTTTCTTTTAAATACCTTACCTTAAAGACCGTATTATGTTTGGTCTATTTTGTGATTTGTCTCGATAGAATTTTACAGAACATTTAGCATAATCTGCTGCGCTGCGATGGTTTTCTTTTGACGCTGTATAACTTAGCCAAAGTTAATGTTAATATGATAATAATATCTAGGGTCGGCGCACATAAGTAAAAAATCAACGACAAATTAATATATCTACCGTTTAAATCACGTAAGTCAAATTCATTTGTTATCATTCTCTTCACATATTCTAATATTATAATATTGGACAACACAAAAAACATTTCATTATGTATTAGAAATAGTAGCACTTTTTAAATGCTTTAGTCCGCCGACGTATATATTATATTATTATATGTCAAATTTGATAGGTAGGCATCTTAGCAAATGCACAAATGATCTACTCACCTCCTGTCTATTCCTATCCTAAAAAACGCACTGGTTTGAGGGTAGGATATTCCCCGTTTTCACGGGCCCTGTTGCAACTACGCCGCGCTAGCGAACGGTCGCTTTTGACGCGATATCACTGTAACAGTTGTCCAACGGCAATACGGAAAATCATCTTAGCATCTCATCTGTCTGTGAGAGACCAGAGTTGGCGGCGCGACAACCCCTTAACACCTGGGCATACGCATAAACACCAGCGACCGACACATCTATCGAGGGAACAACCCAAGGTCAGTCAGTGCGTTCACCCTACCCCATTTTGGCCCTGTCATAGCATGGTCCTTTGAGCCGAATAGCGTGGTTCTTTGAGCCAAATAGCTTGATCCTTTGAATCCTGTCTCATCCATTCTATCCGCATTATCTCTAATCAAAATCGATTTATGATATATGATTATATATGATATGATTCATTTTTATAAATAGCGCCTAACTTTAATTTAGGAGCAATTACTTTAATGGTTGAGTTTGCTATTTCTCCAATTTAAGGCGTTTTTCTCTCAATGTACTTTGAGTAGTGAGAACCGATTTTTATGATCTCCAGTGTCAAGTCCTGTATAGTGGCGAACTAGGGGATATTTTAATAAAACTTTTTTGAGGTCGGTTTTTAGTACTCTGTACTGAGATTATACTTGTCATTTTCACATGTCTGTGATTGGATTTTTTTGAAGACGGAATTTAATTTGATTTTTGATAAATAAATTAAAAATGTGTGATAATATGGAAAAGCCTACACTTATAAAAAGGAAAGGTGTAACAATATTATTACACTCAGGTTGTCAGTTCAAACACAAATAATTTCACTCCACAGCTCAGTTGGCTAAGAGGGGACCGCCATGGAAACAAACACTGTAGGGCTAGCGCGACAGGACGCGACTTGCGCGAGAGCGACGTGCCTACTTATTTGAGTCCATTGAGATCGACGGAAGTTTTCTTTGTATCAGTGATAATAATTCACCGTACTTTATCAAACTCGTATCTTAAAGCACAAAGTTACTGAAATGAAAAAAATGGATTCTATGTACAAATTTTACAGGCTGATTTCATATACCATTTCTTTCATATTTACAAACTAGCTTTTACCTATTTTTAAAGTAATGTATCCAAATTAACACCCTTGATAAGAGATTTAAAATAAATAGAAAGTTTTGCCATCTTCTGAATCATCACTCCTTTCAAGATACGAGTTTGAGAAAGTCAGGCATCGATATTGTTATGCTCAAATAATATTCTTAAGTCTTGTTGGTGCTAGAATCAGACCAATGACATAAAGGGCTGGTGCCACATTTATTTCAATTATTTTTATAATTTCGCCACTTAATGAAGTCACCGTAATTCTCGCTGCGGAATCGCATTAAGCCGTTAAAAAAAGCTTTATATTTATGCGATAAGAGCGAAAAGACGTTTCGCGTCAGTGGTCCTAGCGGAAGTCAAACGCGTAACCATTTTATACACGGCGACTTCAAGCAGCGATACAACCGCGATACACGTTTTCTGTTTGCATCAATGCAAACGCCTATAATACAATCGCGCGTTTTATAAACACACGTTTGTATCACTGCTAAAACTCGCGCCGTGTAACTGCTCTTAAAGTTCCAAGATTTTTCTGATTAGCTCAAAATGATACCGCGTTGTAATGTGATCACACTCTAATTATTTGAAAAATAAACTCATATTCGCTACGAAATATCTTAAATAATGTGAAGTCCTTACGAGAAATTCGTAATTTAAAAGCGAGTTCCTTTAAAACAGTAGAGCTCTTTGTGAAATTATTATTATTATTTTCTTTATAACATCAAGTGTCAGGACGTACTAGACGTGCGCCTGTCTTTGATAATTACAGTACCTTTCAGAGCTTTAAATTGCAAAGATCTGAGGGGCACTGCCACTACGCCCTGAGCTGAGACGTAAGTTGACTGTAATTTCACCAGCACTCTTATCCTTCAAAACCGGAACACAGTAATGCTGACATTACTGCTTGGCGGCAGAAATAGATAAGGTAAGAAATAGACAACCCTGGACGAACTCTTTCACAGGGAGCTTTGTTGCTATTTAAATTATTCGTCAAGGGAAGCACTTTGCCACCTTACACAACCTATTCAACACCTTACACAACTTTGTAACCTATCACAAAGTCGAAATTTTTTTTGTCCGAAATAACATTTGTTCGAATTTTCATTACACCGAAAGCCGAATTATAATGAAACAGTTGTTCTTTCAGAATATGTTGAATGTTTATCGCAAAGACACGATTAGGTTCGGTTAGGTTAGGTGTAAAAGAAAACATTTTTCTCTCAAAATTACTTTCGAGGTTATGAAATTTCGACCAAACGTTGTTTCTGGAAAATGTCATTTCGAACTATTGATAGGTAACCTATGCGTACGGTCCAGGCGGACTGTCCGCCTGCGGACCATCCATATATGAGTAGAATCCGCAGTGCTCTAAATCGAGTATTTAATTTAGTGGGGATATTCACGGAAGACTGTTGCCTACAATGAACGTAAGGGTTGTGCGAAGTTCCGAATCCGTTGTGGAAACCAATACACAACAAATTTTGACTACGACTTAGTAAAAATGGCGAGCTAAGGTAGTTTTTAACCGACTTCAGAAAAGGAGGCGGTTCTCAATTCGGCTGTATTTTTTATATGTATATGTTACGCGATTACTGCAGCATTTGTGAACCGATTTTTATTGATTTTTTTTTGTTGGAAACAGGGTACCTCAGTATTGGTCCCATTTAAATTTGAAGACAATATTCCACCTCTAAGGGTGGCAAACTAGGGGATGAATCCGTTTTCGCACATAAATGTATTTACAAAACCGAACCTTGCCCAAGTTTGAGCAAGAAATTAGAAAGTATTAAGTTTAGTTCGTAATATTAATTTTGCTTCGTTACTCCGAAATTATTGCATTGTGTTCTATGGTTTTTATTATTAATAAAAAATATAACTATAAAGTTCATTTACTAGTATGTTATAATTATCAATACAAGGATCGAACAGTAAGAAACAAACTTTCGATCCGGCTGGATTCGAACCAGCGTCTTCAGCATTCCGTGCCGATTCGGTACGATCTTTGTAATAATAAAATAAGGGAGATAACTATTTTGTTTTTATTTTTTGCCTTTTATCATTACAGACTTCCAGAGGGAAGTATTGTCTATTCTATGTGCAATAAACGCCTCGAGTATATAAGCCTAGGACCGATAAAATGTCATTCAATTTGTTTGAAAACTATTTTGCCAAACAATTGACGAGTGTCGTCAATTGTTTCACTTCAAATCGACCAGTTTAACTTGAGCGTTGCTATAGTCGATAAAAATTGGAAAATTACATATTTAATATTTAATTACCGATGAAATGTGATTCCGTTGGTTTTGTAATTAGATGTTTTGCTGTTTTTCCCGCACCACCGAATGGAACAGCCCCCATTGTTAGAGATATTATCTTTATTACAATAAATACAGAATATTTTTGGAATATTCGGAGACGTTCACACAGGTCAGTTGTTGACGCTATACTATTTCAGCTTTCTAATTTGTGATTTCAGCGCAAACGAGAGTTGATATTTAAAAGCAATGATATTATACTTTTTAAAAGTGATATAAGGCCCATTTGCCTGATGAGTTGTATATTGAGAGAGATAGATGGCTCTTATTTCGTCTCTATTTCTGGTTATATAGTCGATGGCAATAACTAATATAATTAGCTAAACAGTATGCCTATTCTGTTATTTGCTCATTATACATCGTCGAAAGCTACCACAGCCAATCGATAACGACGCGACCCTCAGGCGCTATTGGTAGGGTAGATATGCAACATGCGAGGTAGGGTGGCGATGCTGGCGGCGGTCTACACAGCAAACAGTTACGTATAGCTCACTTATTGCACTCACTGTGTACGTTAAGTCTCGCCCGATCGATCGTGAGACTGCAGACATTTCGCAAACCACGAGACGACGCGTCGCGAATTAACCGCGAAATAGACAACAGCGTAACAAGCTTTAATAATGTAGTGAAAAGTTTTATTGCAACTTCAAAACGGTTTCGTAAAGGTTTCAATTTAATCTTTTAAATGCGTATCGATACAAACAACTATGGACAAGCAACATATTGGATATCGATGATAGTAAGGCTCGTACTTTCTAGTCCCATTAAACGACCTAAGGAGGCGTATTAAAAACCTCATCGTGGATAACTCTGTTTCGACAGCAACTGGGGAAATTCAACCAATAGACATATGAAAGCAAAACCACAACGCCAAAAACAATAATTAATTATTTTTATTGTCTACAATTTTCATCTAACACGTCCATGGACAGTGAAATTAAATATCACAATTTTACAGGACACCACGTACCCCAATATGGATTTTACAGTGAGTGCTTTCTGTATGTTGCCGCCTGCTGCTGATACGTCTTTATGGAGACATAAAGACGTATCAACACTTACTGACAATTTTCAATTGTTTACACACACATACGTGTGGACGTTACGTAAAGACAGTATGATGGACAGCGACGTGTTTGTATGAAGTGATACAAGTACATGGTAACGCCATTGAGCTTTCTAACAGCAGAAGTAAATTTTAACCAATTTTTTTCTCTAAAACGTATATTATTTTAGTATTAATTCAATATGACACAACGGCATTCATCTAAGTACTGTCATAGCCGTTCATGCAAGAACGTTGACGGAATCAGGCGTCAGGGATAAAGCGTAATTTTCTGTAATAAATAAGCACTACGGGAGAAAGTAGTAACACGTTCATCGCCATGATGGGTCAAAGTGACGGCCATCTCATCTACCTGTTGGGGCCGTGGGGGGTGAAATGACCGACACGACACACCAAACGTAGCGATGCTCGTTCACGCCGCAGGTGTCAAACGCTACGTATTTAGCCATATAACATGACCGGCGCGGCCCTGACGAACTTCTGTTGCACTTGATTTTTAGGATGTTTTATGGCATAGGTACCTGCTTTTTAGACTTCTAGAAAAAAAAAATATATTTCTGTCAAAAAATTTACTTAATTTCATATGAAATTTAAAAGTTATAAACTAAGCAAAAAATTGTTAAAATGTCAATCTCAAATGAAAGACGTGTGTCAGTTTTAGGTAAACATCGACCGAACATTACTTGTACGTATTCTGCCTGGCACTGTAACACAATAATTATGCCTAAGCGCAGAATAATTATTGCATTGAAATGCCCGGCACTTAAAATAAACCCAAAATAGAGCCAAATAATGAAATACCACAAAAAACCATATACATATGACATTTCAAACAGTCATATATAAGCCAATGTCATTTTTTTCATTTCAACATTCTAGCCTGCGACGAACGTGTTAACCCGTTCGTAGAAAGTACTTAAATAGTAGAATGTGTACAGTTAAGAGCACGTCAAGCTTGACACTTTGTACTTTGAACCGTCCTTATCGTACGCGACATACAGTTGGATTTAAATCCTAAGTGTTTAGCTTGACGTGCTCACTGTACATGAGCATTTAAGTACTTTTGCTAACCAACTGGAACTTATCGCCCTTGAGTATTCGTCACAAAATTTGAACACCTCGTAATTCCGTTTTTGAACGCATTCCTTTTTTTACTTTTCAAGCGCAATATTGGCCGACAAATGCAATCGGCGCGCTGTGTCGTTCAGTTTGATCAGGCGCTCCGATCGTACGCACGCGCACATTTCCATATTGTGTACGCGTAGTGAATTTGGCGACGCGAAAAATTCGACATTGTAGAGAAAAAACTTAAAACTTATTTCAATATGTTTTATTTAAAACATTAATTTGTCAATTTCTGGCATCGCCATTTTCACTACAAATACTCAATAGGGAAGCGTGCGCGTGCGTACGATCGGAACGCTTGATTAAACTGATAAAAATTTGATTACGTAAAAATGCGTTATTTTTTTTTCAACAATTCACGTCAATGGAAATTACGAGCCTTGCGAATTTAGTCAACGATTATGCAAGTACACCGAGGTACTTGATATTTCAGGATAGGCGCAGGAAGCCGCTGGCATGCGTCAGGTCTGATTGGAGCATTCAAACCATCACTGGCGCAAGTACGGCTTACGCAGTCCTCCATACAGCTGCTGCAAGAATTGGAAGCGCGAGGGCGGAATACTGGGTGGAAGCAATGCGGGTCTTTGCTCCTTGCTCGCACTAGGGACAGGATGACTGTGTACAGGCGAATGAAGAGTCAATCAGTGTACGTATTTGTATAGGGTTTGCCATTAAGGACGTTTTATGGTGTTCCAATTTTATAACGGGCCTTGGCAAAATAACAGTGGAGGCTAAGTAATTGGTATAGTCCTCATCAACTGAAATTTATTCGAGATGGAACGAATCATGCAAATTGAAAAATGAAAATATAATTTAACTAAGTACCTACACGAGGAAAGTATTTTATCAATATATTACGTCATATATTGTACGTACGTAGTATATTGCGTCAATCCATCCCGCGAGCCAACGCGAGCCTTTCTTGGCTCGCGTGTTGCATTGACGCGCGTCTCGCTTGCTCGTCACTCGGGCGCGAAAATTCAAAAAGTACACGCGCAGTGTACCAATTTTATAAAATACAATGTTATGGTAGGCTCGTCATGGACCCCCAGCGTCCATTACGCGGACTCTATAGGGGTCCATGGACCGCAGGTTAAGAAACCCTGCTATAAAGCTCGTCCCTTAATAATCTGATTAAAATTAATCTTCCTAAACAGTTCTTGGGGTATACCATGCGAATTGGTTACCCCGAAGAAATGCCAGGAGATTTGGCCGATGTTGAACGTGGAGGACGTACTCGGTGGTCTGTGGATACCGGGCGACGGAGTCGGAGACCCTCATCTTTTCTGCATGGCGTTGATGAGAGAAGCTGTTGAAAACGGTTGGTGGAAACTCTAGTGCGCATTCATAAAGTGTTCATATCATTCATAAAGTGTTCAGCATCTGTCACAGCTCGACTACTGTAACGCCGGTTTTCACTTGGAGCAACTTTATTAGGATGAGATGGCACTAAAATCCCTACTAATGTTTGTTAAAACAAACTTGCAGGTAGGATAAATCAAGCTGATCTATCTTTTCGTCTCGCATTGCCATTCGAGGCAAAAAGTAGTGGTGGGTTTTGTTCCGCTACAAGCTTGACGAGTTGTTTACACCTCCTGACCAATGACACGAAGTTAGATCATCTAAAGTTTCGTTCTTCACTATTTGAGACACGAACTTACATCCAGCAGCTTCTTTGGTGCAAAATCTACAATACATTCGTATAGATTACTAAGCTCAGAAGTTGGCTTCACAGTTACGATGTGCATATAGCTGTGGAGCCATGTAAAAAGTGCACCAAGTCATTATGCACCGATAAATATTGTTACAAACGTTTGACACTGCTTGAGCCCATTGTCCACATTTGAGGACGGCATTTTTTTTTTCATATAAAATATATAAATCTTTTTTTTGTTCATAATTTTCTCATAAACAGGCTATTTTCTAAAGGTTTCTTACCACGGTAAGTTTTTTTTTATTTTCACGATATTTCGGAACGTTTGCACGCTTCATGGTCACGGGTTGACTGGCATAGACCATGACCATGGAGCGTGCAACCGTTCCGAAATATCGGGAAAATAAAAAGAAGTCATACCGTGGTAAGAAACCTGATATTAGTGTCACGAAAGTCTTAAAATCTATTTTCTAAAGGTTCATAAAAATATTACTTTTTATAACGCTAATTTGTATTTGCGCGTTAATGGGTTAATATTAAACTAAAAATAGATAGGAAAATTACTAACAGGAGATTAGTACATAGATATATTGTATTGTTTTTATGAAATGAAATACCGAGCTTGTTAGACCTTTTTCAGTTAGTTCGTAGCCGCTTAGTTGGACCTCTAAATAGTACTGTTTTATCTTGACTCTAAAAAATCGAATGGATGGTCATTATTAAATTTTTACTGCAATATCGATGTTAAATGAAATGTCGGCTCATTTGGTTATGTTAATGGAGACTAAGCGTTAGTGTAGCCGGAACTTATGCGTCAGGGTGCCGGGTGCGGTGGCAGTGCCCCTGAGATCTTTGCGGTTTAAAGTACCACCAGGCGCACACTTGTTCGCCCCGTCACTTCGTATTATAAAAAGAGAAGAAGCACGATTGACGTTTGCATTTCAGGTGTTGGTGTCATGGAGGACTGTGCTGTTACTGCGGTGTTGACCAAAGACGACAAAGTTTCCGGCGTGAAGACGACACACGGTGACATTGAGTGTGAATATTTTATCAATTGTGCAGGATTTTGGGCTCGAAAGGTAAGATAACGTGGCAGCACAATTTTATACCTTTTTTTTGTAATATCAAGTGACGGAATGAATGGTGTGCATAGAGTTCTAGTAGCAGTGGAACTCCGTCAGGGAAGTACTGCCACCTTACCTATTTCTGCCACCAAGCAGTAATGTGAGCATTACTGCGTTCCGGTTTAGAAGGATAAGGGTGCTGGTGAAATTACAGGCACATGGGACTTTTCAACTTATGTCTCAGGGTGATGAGCGCAAAAGCACTGCACCTCATCTTTTTGCGATTTAAAGCTCTGAGTGGCACTGCAACTGTTATATGTCCTTTACCCATTGACTTACAATTATATGGACGTCCGGTCCGCGCTAAAAAGTGTCCGAACTTATAGGGCGTTAAAATCGTATACAGAGCGTCATTCACGCTTTAGTCTTCGTTTGTTCAACTGACAGCCAAGCAAGCAAAATTATACAGTACTGCGATGACATTACAATTTAAATTCAACGTTTTAGCTTTTTCATATTCCTTTACATGTCACTACGTTTAAATAGGTTGACTTGGGACATGTATGGTTTTTGTATTAGACCCGTGTCGTCCATTTATTTGTAAGTCAATTCCTTTACCCGACTTTTTTATTATGAAAACTAACACGGTTATCACACATTATAATATAAAAGTAACGGGACTTACTCGCGTAGTATTTTAGTCGGAAGCGGTCCGACTAGTTTCGACCATAATCGATGGTCTTCTAGACGTGACGCGGTCGCGGACGTTGCACTCAACCCCCGAAGAAAGAGAGTAAGTTCCGTTACTATTATAATTTACCCGACTTGTTCGTCCCAACTTTCCTCTCAGATTTTCAAAGGTTAGTTGCAAGATATCTCTTTATTGGATAAGCTCGCCTTTGTACACATATATTTAAATTTTTTCTGAAAGTTTGCCATTTACTTTGTAATAATTATAATAATAATAATAACGCTCACACTCAACATAGCCCCGCACTAGGGAAACCCTGTGTCGCGGGTGCCATGGACACACACATAGACAACCACAAATTACAACCAAACTCACGAGAGAAATAAATGTAGGCCATACAAACATTTCTCCCGGCCCGGGAATCGAACCTGGGACCTCTACGTGGCAGTCCGGCATGGTAACTGTTCGGCCACAGAAGCAGTTGTTTGTGGTACAATAAAGTGTTTAAACAAATAAATAGATGAAATAAATCACTTATTAATATTTAAAAAAATTTAACGTTTGCATTTCACACATTTCCCATTAATACCGCTACATAGACTAATTTTATTGCAGGTGGGTCAGCTAACTCTGCCTCAAGTCAAAGTGCCTCTGGTGCCATGCGAGCATTATTATTTGCACACAAAGCCTTTAGATAACTTGGATCCAATGACGCCTGGTAATATGACTACTATACTCCGTCCAACCATTTATATAACTTTAGACATATGCAACCATGGACGAAAATTCCATACTTCCTGGACTCTTTTATTATTTAGTTTTATTGAAGAAGTTCTCTTTAGCTCCGGTATTTATCAAGCCAACAGATTGTGTAACGAAGATTATTCAAGTTGATAAATTTTATACCAGTCTAATAAATTATAATGGATCGTCGACTTCTTCTCCATATGAATGAGAATCATCACTTGAACCCTCATTAACATTAATTATTAATCCTTGAGTACACAAATTGTCAAACGCAACATCACGATCCCAATAAGACAATATCTTCTTTTTTGAACCCGCTCACATTCTCAATTAAAACTTCTTCTTATTGTAAAATCGATTGTTATAAAAAATCGAATCGGAAACGCATCGGAACATCACTAATTGATTAGAATTCGAGATGTCAAAAGTTAAATAAATGGCTGGACGGAGTCATTGACTTACAATTATATGGACGTCGGGTCCGCGCTAAAAAGTGTC